TTTTGACATTTTTCGCTGACATGACTGGAACATCAGGGCGGGTTCGACATGCCCGCAGCAGATGCTTACCTTTCACGTGCACCTGGTCTGACTCCCTTATGGGGGTTTATGATGTTCCGATTCCATCGATTTTGTCAGTATATTTTTCTTGACTACTGATTGTTGAAGAATGGCTAATTGGTACTTCTATAATTACTGAAGTCGTCTGGTCAACGAGACGAACAATTCACTAAAATGTGAGTGTGGACTCGGCTAGCATGGATATATTGCTATCAACTAATGATATCAACTTGGAATGCAAATATGTGGATTATTAATCAATAAAACATATGAATAGCCATTTACACTAACATTCTAGCATAAGTATTTAACCAGATATTTGTACATTTACCATTCAGTAGCCATATTGAATTTGAAAGTTATATCAGGGGGAAATTCTCCTCCTCGGGGTAAATTCTTCTCTCCGGGGCCTCCACACTTGTCAGGGGGGAATCTCGTCTCGTCTCTATATCTCGTCCCTTTTACGTCAAATAAGACACACACAACGAAATACGTTTCAGCTCTCGTCTTAGTCGGTCAATTGAGCACACTATAAGACACAGCGCCCCAAGGCCCTCCAGGACTGCTCTTAGACTGCGTCTATCGTGCTGTGTTCCCCAAGACCAACTCAAACTCTCCTTATTCATTTTCAAAATTCTAACCAATTACAAAACAGTAAAAAGACTCTAAGGCGTAACCTTCAATCATAAAGCCAATCACACTAAGTACTGAATACGTCATATCTATTGATTAATCGTTCACTACATTAATAATTATGGATATAAACTGTCAGAATCTTAGTCAGAATAGCGGCGGTTATCTGGTTCCAAATCACTGAGCCAAGTTCCGTCCAAAACTTCAAATAGGCCTAAACGATGACAGACATAACACAGCAATTCGCTAATAATCAACTAATTAAGTCGGTCAACAGATACGCAAAAACAAATTCATGACAGTGACCACAATGATGATTTTTTTAGCACACCAAAAAAAATATTGTTTCTCATAAGACATAGAAGCAAACTAATATAATGAACAAAGTTTATAGGGTGGGTACAATGTGACCTGAGATCCAGGCAAGCTACGGGAATCAGACCTTCGCTTATTATTATAATGGTTGGTTTACCACTGTAGTGAATGTTTGCGATTCGCTTCGCTAGGATTGCCCTTATAATCACTTTCGTAGGTTTGTGTGTGTGTGTGATTTCCAGTGTTTTCACGTATTAATTCTTCTGTGATTTTTTTGGCTTGGTTGATTTCGCTCAAACTTGGCAGGTAGGTCACACCTTCACCCAAGTTATTAGGAAAAATCTGAAAAAATTGTTGGCCCACCTTTGCCATAGAAACAGCCAAAAAAATGATTTTTGGATAGCTTTGTGCCAAATGTATTTCCTCCTACAAATTTAGGATAAAACACCTCAGACATAGCTCATTCTACTCAGCTTCAGTGTGGGCACAAAGTTACTATTTGAATTTTTGATATCTTTTTTCATTACCGAGAAAGTTCACCAA